GAGGAGGCCATTCAGCCCCTCGAGCCTGTTCCCCCACTCTATAAGATCATGGCTGACCTGCGCCTCAACTCCAATTACCCCCATTTGCCCCATATTCCTTAATACCCTGACCAACACCCCCAATCTGTCTACCTGTTCAGGTGCGACGAGATTCAAGAAGAGAAGGGAGTTTCCTTCGCTCTCTCTCTCTCTCTCTCTCTCTCGACCACCAATGCCCGGAAATAAAAGTGGGCGCCGCAGCCACGTTTCGCCCACAAGTACCCAGTCACTACACTTTATTCCGCAAAGTTGTCGCGTAACACATCAGTACACACGTATACATGTTATGCAACGATAAGCATTGAGCACTGCTCTGAATTAACAGAGCGGCAGCTAATTAAAGGGGAAGCAGGTGTGAACGGACTTTGTTTCGAAAACCGCTCTAATTAATATGGCTCTGGAATGCTGAGTCAGTGACTCGTTCACTCACTTGGTTCCCCCTACGCCCTCAGGCCGAACCCCCCCCCCCCCCCCCCCCACCATCTGCCCTCGCAGTCCTGGCTGACCCTCCAGATCAGGGCTGGGGAGGATGAGCAGCATTGGTGGAGGTGTCAAGAACAACAACAACTTGCATTTACGTCGCGCCCTTCATGCGGGGTAGTGTCCCTGAGTGGCAGAGTCTAACCCCAAGCCAAGGAGAGAGGGGGGGAAGGGGGGGGGGGCTCGGATGAGAGCTTTAAACCCAGCTCCCGGTCTGCCCGCTCAGGGGTGTGGACGCACAGTGTAGAGGAGCTTTACTGTATCTCTAACCCTGACCTGGGAGTGTGGACGCACAGTGTAGAGAGAGCTTTACTCTGTCTCTAACCCTGACCTGGGAGTGTGGACGGACGTACAGTGTAGAGGGATCTGTGTCCCTAACTCGTGCTCTCACTGATCTGGGACTGTGAATGGGGCAATGCGAAGAGAGAGAGTGAGAGACATACACTGACACACACACACACACACACACACACAGTTGGAGAATCAGAGGGAGGGGGAAAAAGGTGGGAGAGAGGGAGAGGGGAGGGGGTGAGAGGTGGGGGGGGGGGGAGAGAGAGAGGAAGAAAAAATAATGGGAAGTAATTCCGTCGAATCATGTCTCGACTGCTTTCAATTAAACAAGGTTTGCTTTGGAGCCTGGACCAGAGATCAGGGGGGATTAGTGGACAGAGCCAGACTACCCCCCACCCCCCAACCCCCATGATTGTCTTGACTCTAATGAGTTTAGCATATGGTTTGGGGTGGGAGAAGCAAGTAGGTGTCCAGTTCCCCCCACTCCCTCCCCTCGGTATCTCGCACTCGTCTCGCAAGCCAGAGGACCTGGGGTTAAGCGTCGTTCGGTGTGGACGGCGCTATATAAATCCAAGTTGTTGTTGTTACTGTAGAAGGCAGTGCGAAGCCTTGAGTAAATTTACTTACTCCCCACACACGTACACACACACACACACACACGTACACACACACGCGCCTCTGTTTACCAGCGGTAAGAAGGAAACCCGGTTGTTAGTCGATTGGCGTATCGCTTTTCCGGGGGGAACGGCGGTTAATAATACCTTCAAAAATAATAAAATAACTATTAATTATTAATTAATAGCTACAACTGTTTGCGGGGGACGGACGCCGCTGTGCGAAATCGGCTGCCGCGTTTCACCCACGAATTACACGGCGAATTCGCTTTACAGCGCATCCCGTGAAGCGCTTTGAGACGCCTCGGAGACGCGATGAGAGGCGCTGTAACAACCAGGTTCCTACTTCCCGCTGTGTACAGGGGCGCGCGCGTGTGGGTGTGTGGAGTAAGGAAACTTTTTGCCCTGACGGGGTATCGAACCCGGATCCTCTCGCTTAACGAGGCGAGCGTGTTAACCGCTCCGTGAGTTCCAACCTGGCACGTTGGGAGGTTGGGAGGGAGGGGGGAAGAGGGGGCGGGAGGGAGGGAGCCAGGGCAGATCTTTGTGTCAGGCTGATATGACTCCCTGAGGAGGAGAGAGGCTGAGGATCAAGCGAGAGGAGTGTCACTGAGTGCTTCCAGATGGGCTGTATTGATGCCTATCAGTCTCTCAACACCATTGTTTACACTGGCATCTCATATTGTGGCCTTCAAGCGTCGCTCCATCCTATCCCATTACAAGACCCGGACGTTAGCGTTTAAGGGAGAACAGGTGGGATGGCTCAGAGCTACAGGTCAGCTTTTGCCATGGGCGAGGGGGCCGGGAGGGGGCAGAGAGGGCCAGAGGGGGCGGGGAGGGGGCAGGAGAAAAGTCTGGTGGGATGTGATGTGGGAGACTCGAAGAGTGAGGATGGTACCCAGAATGAGTTGCACTTACGTAGCACTCTTCACGTGGAGCCCCGTAGCTCAGTGGTTGGAGCGCTCGTCTCGCAAGTGAGAGGACCCGGGTTCGAGCAGGTCAGGGCGAAGTATTGGGCAAGTTTCCTTACTCCCCCCCCCCCACACACACACACACACGCGCGCGCCTCTGTTTACCCAACAGCCATAGGAACCTGGTCGCAAAGACGTGCAAAGGCACTTTACCAAATGCAAGGATTATTTTATTACTTTTGTTATTATTCACACGGGGTCGCGTCTGGGAGAAGGAAAGGGGGGAAACGGGACTTTTTTTTTTTTTTTTTGCGCAAGGGAGCTGTGGGTGGGGGAATGGAGAGAAATCCGGGGCCAATTGCTAACGTAATGGGGTAGGGCGGCGGGGACGGGGGCGGGGGCGGGGGTGGTGGTGGTTGGGGGGGTGGGGGGGAAAGGAGAGAAAGATTAAAGCCGTGGGAATTCTTTGTTGCCGAGTTTAATATGTGGTAATAACCTCGTCTAATTACTGAGCGATAAAACTAATTGGAAACACAGCAAAATGTTAAATGCAAAATCTGTGATGTTAATTGCTGAACAGGTGCGGGTGTAGGTCTAAATGAGGAGTGTGATTAGAGCGGTCTCAAGAACAAATGTGCCGGGTTCATGTCAGTCATAAATTATTCAGCTACACAGAGGTTCGATCACCTCCCCTTCTGTTTGGGAGACAAACAGAATATAACTCAGACGCAGCCCCGCTCCGGGTCACTCTCGCTCACTCCCGCTCACCGACACGCTCGCTGGCTCGCTCGCTGGCTCGCTCTCACTCGCTCGCTCGCTCGCTCACGCACCCACTCACCCGTCAGTATAAACGCTCGCTCGCACTCACTGACACGCTCACTCATAAACACACTCGCTCACTCACTCACTCACTCACTCACTCACTCACTCACTCACTCACTCATCAATGCAAACACACTCACTCCCACTCACTGGCACACTCACACTCACTCGTAAACACACTCACTCACCTTCGCCGACTCACCCACCCACCCACAAGTACACACACATTCACTCACACTCATCGACACATTGCAGTAGGGTTTCGGCACCTGTGACCAAAAATAATATAATAATAATAATAATAATAATAATAATCCCTGCATTTGATATAGCGCTTTTCACGTCTTCTCGACATCTCAAAGCGCTTCACAGAATAGACTGTAAATTGAATTAACTGTGTATTTGTGGGCGAACGCAGCAGCCGATTGCGCGCAGCAATGTCCCATTTATTATTGCTTTGTTTTGGAGGGATTATTATTATTAGGTGTGTGGAGTAAGGAAACTTTGCCCAAGGTTTCGCCCTCTTCCTGGAATTGAACCCAGGTGTCTCGCTTGCAAGGCGAGTGCTCTAACCACTGAGCTACAGGACTCCGCACACTCACTCACTAGGCGCCGGGGGAGCCCAGAGTGTGCGTTGGGGTAACTGCCGGAGTTCTAACCAGGTTAAACCCCATCGCTTGCCGTCGATATCACTGTCGGGCAAAGCTTTCCTGCTGCTTGTCCAGCACTCGCGCACACATTCGCTCACTCACTCACGTTCACTCACTCACTCACACACACACACACACATTCACTCACTAATTCACTCGCTCACACACCTCACTTATAAACATTCTCACACACACTCACAGTCCAGTTCAGATATCACACACACACACACACACACACACACACACACAACAGAGAGCTGAGGATTAGATGATATCTGTGTCGCCGATCTATAATGTTGGCTCTGTTTATTCAGGGAGGAGGGTTTATTTAAAAGGGAATTGTTATTTCCCACCCCCACCCCTCTCACCCTCATCACTCTCAGTGATTGACTGCGGATTTCTGAGCCTGAAACAGTTTGGGAGCACTCGACGATCCCGAAGCAATAGAGAGCTCGGAACCCACTGGGCTGTGCGTTTGCATTACCGTTCAGCAGGAAAAACTTTGCTTCGCGGACCGAAGCGATGTAGAAATAGCAGAGTGTGCCAGAAAGTGTGCTGACTCCCTCCCTTCCTTCCTTCCCTCGCTCCCTCCCCCTCTCCCTCCTTCGCTCGCTCATTCCTTTGCTCACAGTTCCCCACTCAAACCCCCCACACACACGCGCACAAACACACGCATTACTGCAACGTCAGCCTCTCAACCTGAACGTTCCTGGACCAAATACAAGGCTTAATAGCATCATTATAATAGCTACAGGCACCTTGACATCACAACGACAACGGCAACAGTTTAGCTGAGCGCTCTTGGCTGACACTTTTTGCCCGTAAAGTACCATACAACACAGGACAACGTTTACAACAGCGCCTTTCACAGCGGGAGGATGTCTCAAGGTGCTGGACAGTCGAGGATTGGGACCCGAGCTTGGGGTTTGGGGAAAGGGAGGGTGTAGGTCAGAGAGGGTTGGGGGTAGGAGGGGTGGCCAAAGGCAGGGTCGAAGGGGAGGCCTGCCTTGAAGGAGGCGAGGGAGAGGGCAAGGCGGTGGGAATGTGGGATGGAGTTCCAAAGGATGGGGGCGGAGAGGCTGAGGGCGTCTGCTGAGCGGAGGGAGCGGACAGGTTGATAAAATACGCCGTCACTGGCAGGTCTGGGCAATGTTGAAACGGCGCTGTATCAAACACGAGGGCTCGATGATTACCTGTCGATGATAACTGGGTCCGATGGCGTCTCATTACGATTCCCGCAGCTTTTCTTCTCACAACACCGGCTGAAAAGCAACCAGACGATGGCCGTCAATGGGCAGTTTCCCTCTCTGCCATCTCCCCTAACCCTCCCCCCACCCCCACCTTCTCTCTTCCATCGCCCCCTCGCTCATCCAAACCCCCTTCACCCCCTCAGCCCCAACGCCCCCCCCAACCCCACTCCAACCCGAAGAGGCAACTCTCGCTCTCAAAGGAATCTGGGATCTGTCGGCAACCAACAAAACCCAATTCTCACAAAAGGACAGAAATGTGTGGAATGTAGCGAGCGTGGAAACAGAGGGAAAAGGCTGTCAACTTTTATTGCCTCATGAGATAAATCAGCATCCAGTCTGGGAGACCAGAGGATGCGTGTGATTCACGACAGAATAAATAGCAACGACACCCCCATGTAATCTGATATTAATATAGTCTGTCTATTCCTGATATTAACACTGACACCTCTATATAGTCTGATATTAACAGTGACACCTCTATATAGTCTGATATTAACAGTGACACCTCTATATAGTCTGATATTAACAGTGAGAACCTCTATATAGTCTGATATTAACAGTGCGCACCTCTATATAGTCTGATACTAACAGTGAGAACCTCTATATCGTCTGATATTAACAGTGACACCTCTGTATAGACTGATATTAACAGTGAGCACCTCGAAATAGTCTGATATTAACAGTGAGAACCTCTATATAGTCTGATATTAACAGTGACACCTCTGTATAGACTGATATTAACAGTGAGCACCTCTATATAGTCTGATATTAACAGTGAGAACCTCTATATAGTCTGATATTAACAGTGAGAACCTCTATAATAGTCTGATATTAACAGTGAGTACCTCTATATAGTCTGATACTAACAGTGAGAACCTCTATATAGTCTGATATTAACAGTGACACCTCTGTATAGACTGATATTAACAGTGAGCACCTCTATATAGTCTGATATTAACAGTGAGAACCTCTATATAGACTGATATTAACAGTGAGAACCTCTATATAGTCTGATATTAATAGTGAGCACCTCTATATAGTCTGATATTAACAGTGAGAACCTCTATATAGTCTGATATTAACAGTGACACCTCTATATAGTCTGATATTAACAGTGAGCACCTCTATATAGTCTGATATTAACAGTGACACCTCTATATAGTCTGATATTAACAGTGACACCTCTATATAGTCTGATATTAACAGTGAGCACCTCTATATAGTCTGAAAAGAGCAGTGACTTATATTGTCTAAGATAATGTTCCAGTGCAGTGCTGGAGGGAGTGCTGCAATGTTGTGCTTCAGATGAGACGTTAAACCAGGGTCCCGTCTGCCTGTTCGGACGGACGTGGTGCGAGTCGAAAAGCGAAGGGAATTTCTCCCGGTGTCCTGGCCAACAATCCCCCAAGTAAAACTGGCGACTCAATTTTGTGGGGGACGTCGCGAGGTGCGCAATTGGCTGCCGCACGTTTCGCCCACAAAATACACAGTCACTACACTTTACGGAGTATCCCGCTTTGAGACGTCTCGAAGACCTGATGAGGCGCTGGGTCAAATGCGAGGATTATTAATATTAGTTTGGGGGGTGTAGTGCGTGCGTGTGAGTGTGTGTGTGTGTGTGCGTGTGTGTGCGTGAGAGTGTGTGTGTGTGCGTGAGAGTGTGTGTGTGTCGCGTGTCTTACTGTGAGGGTCGAGGAAGGTGTGTGTGTGTTTGGGTGTGTGTACAGGGAGGTGTTGGTAGTGTGCGTCTGTGTGTGTGTGTGTACACGGAGGTGTTGGAAGTGTGGTTGGTGTGTGTGTGTGTGCTTGTTTTGTGGGGTGGTGGGTGGGGTGGTGGGGGTGGGGGTGTGTGGTGGGATGGGGAGGGGTGGTGGGGGTGTGGGGTGGGGGGTGGGTCGCGGGGTGTGGTGGGATGGGGAGAGGTGGTGTGGGGAGGGGTGTGGGGTGGGGTGGGGGGTGTGGTGGGATGGGGAGGGGTGGTGGGGGTGGGTTGGGGGGTGTGGGGTGGGGGGGTGTGTGGTGGGAGGCGAGAGATCTACTAATCCTAACCAGCGACCAGACCCGCTCTTTGTGCTGCGTTTGCTCCTCACGGGCAAACCCCCCACCCCCCACCCCCCCCCCCAGCCCCCAGCCCCCCCCCCCCAGCCCCCCCTCCCCCTCCCCTCCCGCCAGCGAACCAGCCTCAAAAAAACAAAACAAAAAGCTTCTAAATTCACGCCATCTGTCAGCCCCAGTGAGACCTCAACGAAAAGGCTGGCATCGCGCAGCCTGTCTGACTGCATCCTCCCTCTGCTCTGCTCTGCTCAACAGTGTCATTAAACAGATGTAAATCACATCCCTCTCACTTTAAATTATAACAGCTCCCGGTCCTCCGAGAATTGGGGGACAGCTCTTAATTCTCCCCCCACCCCCCCTCACCCCCCACCACCCACCACCACCACCACCACCACCACCACCCTTCTCGCTCTCTCCTCTCTCTCTCTCTCTGTGTATCTGTCTCCCTCCTCCTCCTCTCCTCCCCCCCACCCCCACCACCACCACTACCACCACCCCTTCTCGCTCTCTCTCTCTCTCTCTCTGTGTGTGTCTCTGTCTCCCTCCTCCTCCTCCTCTCCTCTCCCCCCCCCCACCCACCCACCACTACCACCACCACCACCTTCTCGCTCTCTCTCTCTCTCTCTGTGTGTCTCTGTCTCCCTCCTCCTCCTCCTCTCCTCTCCTCTCCCCCACCCCCCCCACCCCCCCCCCTCACCCCCCCCCCCCCCCCCCCTCCTCCCGCCTCGCACAACTCTGAGCTGCCGTCCGACGCGAAGGGCGCTGAGTAAATAAATCAATCAATCAATCAATCAATCAATCAATCAATAAACAACGGGTATCGTCGCTGTTGTCTTTTCTCGGCCGTCGTTTATCGATGCTGACGGAGATCTGTCCGGATTCAAAATTCCCGAAACTTTCCTCCGTCCCCTCCTCCCCCTCTCTCCCTCCCTCTCTCTCTCTCCCTATCCCTCACCCTCTCTCTCTCTCTCGCTTCCTTCCACCCCCATCTCTCTCTCTCTCTCTCCCTCCCTCTCCCTCTCCCTCCCTCTTGCTCCCTCCCTCACTCCCTCCCTTCCCCTCTCCCTCCCTCTATCTCTCTCTCCCTTTCTCTCTCTTTCTCTCGCTCTATTACTCCCTCCCTCGCTCTCTCTCCCTCCCTATCCCTCACCCTCTCGCTCTCTCTCGCTTCCTTCCACCCCCCACCTCTCTCTCTCTCCTCCCTCTCCCTCCCACTCGCCCTCCCTCCCTCTTGCTCCCTCCCTCACTCTCTCCCTCCCTTCCCCTCTCCCTCCCTATCTCTCTCTCCATCCCTCCCCCCACACCCCCCCCCCCTTTTTTCCCCAGTTAACAACCTCTCTCTAATGTCATTATGTTTAAAGTGATGCCTCCTAAGTTTCTAAGCGCCTTGAGATCCATCTCATCTGATCGCCCAGAGCAAAAGTGTGTTGTTTTCGCTCTCTCTCTCTCTCTCTCTCTCGCTCATTTATTTTAATGAATATTTTCAAAAGTCTGCTATTGGGAGGCAGGGAGAGAAAGAGAGAGAGAGAGAGCGAGAGCGAGAGAGGGAGGGAGGGCGGGAGGGAGGGAGGGAGGGAGGCAGCGGAGGTAGGGAGTCAAAAGAGCGGAGGGAATGGCGGGAGAGAGGGAGGGAGCGGTAGGAGGGAGAGAGTGAAAGGGAGCGAAGGAGGGAAGGGAGAGGGAGGGGCGTGTTGGGGTAGGTGTGGGGTTGGGGCTATACCGATTGCCCTCCCGTGCCCCCCACCCCCCCCCCCGCCCCACCCCCAGTCTCACTCCGTACAGTTTCTCAAACGCTCCAGGACGTTACTCCACGTCATAGGAAGGCAAGTTGTTTGTTGTTGCCCCCACACACAAACAGCCACCTACAGCCCCTCAAGCAGCGTCCAGCCCATCATCACCCAAGCCCCCCCCCCCCCCCCCACCCGCCCTCACGACCCCCGGCTCAGCCGAGCCCCCGTCCTCGTTAAAAGACCTCATGGCTTTTCTCTCTCCCAAACGGCCGACAGACCAACTTGCGCCCAGCGATGTCCTCGCGAAACCAGGGCACCCACTGGGAGAACTCTCCCCCACCCCCCCCCCCACCCCACCCCCCCTTTCTTCGAGACGTCTCGAAGCCCTTCACAGCACACGCCGCGAAGTGTAGTGACTGCCCGCCCCAAACCCGGCAGCCAATTGCGCACAGCAATTGCGTCCCCACAGACGGCTGTGAACTTCCAGCGAACCAATTAATATTCTTTTTTTTCTATGAGGATTAGTTATTACTATTATATTTTTACCGCGAGGTTAAAAAAAAAACAGAGTGCGGAGTAAGGAAACTCGCCCGAACGCCCTGGGCCGGGAATCTCGCTCGCTCTAACCACTGTTCAGGGCTCCGCATAAAAGCAGAGTTATTTCCCCCCCTTCCTCCCTTCTCACCCCCTCTCTTTCTGTGCCCCTCCCCGCCTTGTAGTCGAGCACAATACACCAGTGTAGCTCTAACCTGCTATCACAGCCAAATAGGTTCCTGATTGCTAGCTCACACCATCAATTTGTAACCAGTTAATTTCCCCCTGGAACATTTTTTTTTTCCCCCTACGAGGAATAGACTGCAAGCTCCGAACTGCGTCTTGCTCGCCTGAAATATTTGTTCAAGAAAAGAGAGAGAGAGAGAGAGAGAAAAAAAAAACACGGAGAGCGGGGGGAATTGGCTTGCCTCGACGCGGCCCCCCCCCCCCCCCCCATCCCCCACCCGAAAAAAAAACAACATAAAGCAGAATAATTTCCGAGCTGCCAACAGGAAAAAGCTCCCTCGGTAAATGTCCTTCCCGCGCAGGAGAGGTCGAAGGAAATCTTCTCCGGGGCTCTGCTTCGACGACTGAGTTGTGGGGGGTGGGGGGGGGGGGGTTGTGGGGGTGGTGTGGTATTTGGCGGGTGGGGAGTGGGGTCTCAAAGCAGAATGTTGCCTATTCCGACCCCCCCCCCCCCTATTCCCCCCCTATGCCTATTGTGGGGACGTTGGAAAAAGGCCCTGCTTCAAACGTAAGGGTCTCTCCCGCAAACTGCACAGTCACTACACTTCTACAGTGTATCCTGCGAAGCGCTGCGAGACGCCTCGAAGGCGCGATGAGACGCTGCGTCGAACGCGAGGATCGTTGTTGTTATCATTAAGGGTCGTTGTGACGTGAAATCCCAGCGAGCGGTTGGAGGTGTGGGGTGGAGTGTGGGGGTGGCGGTGGGGTGGGGGGGGCGGAGGGGGGCGGGGGTGGGGGGGGGAAAGGGAGTAATAGGACATCCGTCCGCTCCCTCTGCTCCGGGTCCCCAGCCCGGTCTACCCCGCCATCGACGGTCAAGGCCTTCGGCCTCTCTGTTACCCCTTGTTCACGGGGTGCGTTACTGGGGTCAACCCCACTCACTGCAGAACAAATAAGCCTCCGAGACCAGGAGGGGAGTATTTGACACGGGGAGCGAACGAACTTATTCCGGGCCGGAAAAAAACAACCTTTTCCTGCTTTTCCAAAAGAAAAGAGAGAGAGAGAGAGAGAAGAGAAAAAAAAGCTCCGAAAAGAAATCTTTTTTTAAATATGCTTTTGAGAATACAGGAATGCCGGATTGTTCCGTGCGGATTTCGAACCTTGTAATTCCCAGTGTTCGGGGAATTGTTTTTTTTCTTTTTTTTGGGTAAAACCAAATCCTTTTCCCAGATGTTTGAGAAGAAAGTTCGTAGGTCAATGGAGTCAAAGGCCAACAGTGTGAAGTGAGGCACTTAGGCTCACGGAAGGTTTCTACAGCCCCCGAAAGAGGCTATTCTGGTCTGTACTGATGCTCCCCCTCCCCCACCCCGATCCACCCCCCCCCCCACCCCCAACCCCTACCCCTCACTCTTTCCCCCATCTGTAATGTTGCTCGCTCCCCCACTGGAGCTCTCTACTCTAACCCCATTCCCTGCGCGCTCTCTCCCCCTCTCCCTCTCCCTCTCCCTCTCCCTCTCTCTCTCTCTCTCTCCCGCCATTGTGTCTGCGCTGGAGCTCTCTACTCCAATCCCGTTCCCCTCGTGTTCCTTCTCCTTTCGCCTCCATTGTATCCCCTCCAATAAAATATCGTGAGGAGAAACTACGCTTGGGTCAAGCAGACGGTAGACAGTAGAAGGAATGGAATGGAATCAGGAGATGAGTTCAACAGCAATGAGACATGGAGTAGGAATGAGACTGAGGAGGTGGACACAATAAATCTTGATCTCAGCTCCGTGGAAATGTAGGACAAGTGATGTGGTTTCAGCTGCTCAAACAACAGTACATAGGCCGACACACACGTTGATGTTCCCCCATTTCCCCACCAAGACCTGTGCCTCAAACCTTCTGGAATTCGGCAAAGCGGGGTCCCTCTTCCCCAGGAGGGAGAGTGCACGTGTGGACCATCTCAGCTTAGCCCTGTGGCTCAGGGGTTAGAGCCCTCGCCTCACAAGCGAGAGGACCTGGGTTTGATTCCCGGGCGGGTCAGGTCAGGTCAGGGCGAAACATTGGACAACTTTCCTTACTCCCCTCCCCACCGCCCCCCATACCCCCACCACCCCCTTTACAGTCCATCCTGCGAAGCGCTTTGAGACGTCTCGAAGACGGGATAAGGCGCTGCATCGAATGCGAGGATCGATATTATTATTATTATTATTACAGCGGTAGCGATTGAAGTCGGGGCGTGCGCGCGTGTGTGTGAGTGTGTGTGTGAGTGTGTGCGTGTTTGTGTGTGTGTGTGTGCGTGTGTATGTGCGTGTGACAAGGAGAGAAGCACCTGGGACCCGCTCTCCCTCAGAGACATTGAGGTAACACTGTTTACTGTCTGGTAGGTTGACACCTGCTGAAGCTCTGCTCGTGTTAGTAATGTGTTCCGCAGCGCTGCCTTTTGTCATTAACTGTTCGCTCACACCTGCCAATTATAATCTGTGACTTTCACGTCAATACCAACGGGAGAGAGAGAGAGAGAGAGAGGGAGAGGGAGAGGGACAGACCGCTGATGTAATAAAACTAATAATAATAATGATAATAACCCCGGCATTTGATACGGCGCCTTATCACGTCTTCGAGACGTCTCACAGCGCTTCACGGGATGCACTCCGAAGCGAATTGACCGCACCTTTTGTGGGCGAAGCGTGATGTCTCGTGCGGGAATAATAATAATAATAATAGTAATGATGATGATCCCCATCGCGTCTTCGAGACGTCTCAAATCGCTTCTCGTAACGTACCGTAAAACGTAGTGACTGTGTGTTTCAGCGGCCAATTGCGCACAGCAGCGTCCCCACAAACAGTGGTGGAATGAGTGACCAAATTATTATAATTATTATTATTGTTTTAAAGTCACAAAGAGCAGGTACTTGCAGTAGTAGTAATAATAATAATAATAATAATAATGTTT